CTTCTTCTTCTGGAACTGTTTTACACTAAAACAGGGGCTCCACCCCCTTTTCTATTTTTCTATTTTTTTAGTTTTTTTTTTTTTATTTTGTGCGCCTTTTTTAAAAAGGCGTGTGCTTCACCTTGCGCCTTGCGCCTCAGGTGCATTTGGAACCTGTCGCTTTTTGTGCGCCTTTCGCTTTTAAAACACTAGTTTCGTACTCTTTCTCCATTACCTCTTACTCCTAGAGTCTTTGGTTGTGTTTGCTTTGTTCAAAATTTAGGATCTGGTTTAGACAAGTTAGATGTGCGTGCCACCAGGTGCATCTTCCTTGGATACTCCAAGACCCAAAAAGGGTATAAGTGTTATAACCCTAGCTCTCATTGGTCCTTTGTGTGCTCAGATGTCACTTTCTTTGAGTCCATTCCATTTTTCTCGAGTACTGATGCTCCTCCTCCTACTCCTATGGTTCCATTTCCAWTTCTAGTTGAGGGCCCCCTTCCCGTGGTTCTTGTTCAAGTTCTATCCCCACCTTCTCCAGTGTAGGCTAATACTGAGAGGCCACTAATAACACAAGTGTATACTCATAGAAGAGCATCGGCCCCTCCTCCAGTTCAACCCTCGTTAACAGATCCTGTGGTTGCGCCTTCTCCTTCTGACCTTGATCTTCCTATTGCATTGCGGAAAGGTAAATGTAGTTGTACATCTCATCCTATTTCTCATTATGTATCTGTTGCTCACCTTTCTACTTCCCATCGCCATTTTATATCTTTGCTATCCTCTGCTTCCACTCCTAAGACTATCCAGAAAGCCCTTACTTCTCTAGGGTGGCAACAAGCAATGGAAGAGGAATTGTCTGCTTTACAACATAATCACACGTGGGAACTTACTACTCTCCCTCCCAATAAGCATGTTGTTGGATGTAAGTGGGTCTACACAGTGAAGTATCTTTCAGATGGCAGTGTGGAACGATTAAAGGCCAGGTTAGTAGCCAAGGGCTATTCTCAGTTATATGGTGTTGACTATACAGAGACATTCTCTCCTATGGCTAAAATTGGTTAAATTCAGGTATTAATTTCATTAATAGCAATGTATGATTGGCCTCTCTTTCAGCTGGACATCAAGAATGCCTTCTTACATGGTGATCTAGTTGAGGAACTGAAGTATATATGGAGCAACCACCAGGGTTTGTTGCTCAAGGGGAGGATGGTAAAGTTKGTAGACTTAAAAAGGCAATCTATGGGCTGAAACAATCTCCACGTGCATGGTTTGGTAGATTCAATGAAGTAGTGAAGAACTTTGGCATGAAACAATGTCAAGTAAACCATTCTACGTTCAGCCGTGACTCCAAAGATGGGAAAATCTTGCTAGTGGTGTATGTGGATGATATTGTCAAAGCTGACAGTGACATCAATGGGATTGACAGATTGAAAAACTTCCTACAGGATCACTTCCACACGAAGGATCTTGGTAAGCTGAAATACTTCCTAGGAATAGAAATTGCAAGGTCAAAACATGGAATTAACTTGTGTCAAAGGAAATATGTCCTTGACTTACTTGAATAAACAGGGYTGTTAGGTGCCAAACCAGCTTAAACACCCATGGAACCGAATGCTAAGTTGAGTATTGATGCAAGTGAAGAGTTTGATGATCCTAGAAGGTAATAGGAGGTTGGTGGGAAAATTTAACTATCTAACTATCACACGGCTAGATATATCATTTGTTGTAAGTATGGTGAGTTAGTTTATGCAACATCCTCGGGTTCCACATTGGGAAGCAGTTTTAAGAATAGTCAGGTCAATGAAGGGTGCTCTAGATTGTGGTCTGTTATACAAAAGTGGAGGAACTCTTGAGAATAAAAGGGTATACTAATGCTGATTGGGCCAAATCTGTGTCAGACCAAAGGTCAATTACAGGATATTGTCTTCCTTAGTGGCAATCTAGTAACTTGGAAGAGCAAGAAACAAACAATGGTGGCAAGGAGCAGCACAGAAGCTGAGTACAGGGCTATGGCTCATACTACATGTGAACTAGTATGGCTGAAAAATCTCTTACAAGAAATGGGGTTCTCAATTGACAGACCCATGAGGTTATGCTGTGATAATCAAGCTGTTGTACACATTTCTTCTAATCCAGTCTTCCATGAGAGAACAAAGCATATTGAAGCCGACTGCCACTTTTTAAGAGAAAAAGTTATCGATGGAGTGATAACTACAGCTCATGTGAGTTCAGTAAACCAATGGGCAGATCTATTTATAAAGGGACTGTCTCGGGGCAGAGTGGATATGTGACAAGCTGGGACCATATGACATTCTCCAGCTTGAGGGGGAGTGTTAGAGTCGACAGTGCAAGGGTATTTTGGTCTTTTGACTATCTAATTGAGATTGAATAGTCCATTTTGTCTGGGTTTAAGTTATGTGAGGGACAATACTAACTTTTGTAATTCAGTATATACAATATAAATACAAAGTGGGTCGGCTAGAAGAGAGGACTTACCAAGCCAATAGGATAGGTGGCGGGCCGGGCGTAGAAGCGAGTCGYCAGAAGCTTTCGGTAGCTTACCTTGCTTCCAAGCCGGCCCGGCCGCGAGGAATCAAGAGATCTTTGTCGGTACTGACTTGGATCTCGGGTGACGGAATAAGGCGGGGCTTCTTCCTCGAGTCCTGTCATGATCACGCACTCGATGAAAGAGCTTTACAAGCGGCATTGCCCTTCTTCACTCACGCGATATTGCTGGATCGGGCTTTCGCCCATTGTCCAAGATTCCCCACGAAATGTCAATAAATGAATTGTCCCATTATTCGTTATTTCCGGGTCTTTTCGTTGCATTCACTTACAATAAGAAACAGCCGAACCTTTCTTCTTCTCTTTCTCTTTCTCTCTTTCTCTCTTCTTCTTCTCTTACATACTCCAGATCTAGAACTGAACTAGGGTTAATCAACCTATTCACAATTTTCATCATATATGTACATGTTTTTTATAAAAAAATAAATAATATAACAAATTTATAAAAATATAATATAAAAAATATGTTTATAAATAAATAAATAACATATATATATGTATTATGTATATTTATATTTATAAATATAATATATATATATCGGATCGGATCTTGTCGAATCGAATAGAGGTGATCCGAATCCGATCCGATTTCTAATCGGATCCTATTATCAGATCCAAAAAGGGGTGATCCGAATTCGACCAAATAGGATCGGATTGGGTCGGATCATGATCTGATCCATTTGCACCCCTAGTCATCATCCTTTGACTTTTGGTGCCGCTACACACTATAGCTTCTAGAGCTTTTTTTTTAATTTCCCTTCTTTGAGTTCTCATTATGGCTGTGTTTATCACAGACCTCTAGACCGTTGCCTTGTTTTGGATTCGGTCTTTCCTCCACCTTCAATAGAAACTCCTGTAATAAGTCTACAAGCATTCTCCATCCTGTTTTCTTTCTATCTTCCAGAACACATAACATCTGTTTTTTGTTATCACCAAGCATTTGCATGACCACTACAAACCAACCTTTCTCCTTTTTCCTCATCTCAACTTCAAACCTTTTCCCATCTGCTCACACTGCACTCTTCCAACCTTGTTTCTTAATAGAGAAAGTCGTCCCATCCATGAAGCCTTTCAGCCATCCAATCACCTCCTCAGCTGCGTAAATGGTGGCTCTTTTTCTTCTCTAATCATTAATGACCACCTACCCTTGTTTCTACCTTCTTCAGAATAGAACTTCTTAGCTTCAATATCCACTTCTCTTCTCCATTTCGCTGTTGATGAAAACTGAACTTCCCGTAATGATGCTTGTAACAAAGACATTCAATATCCACCCAGAACTTCTTTTCTTCAAATGGTCTGTCCTATATGGAAAAACCACCTTTGTCTTGCCCTAAACAGGTGTGTCCACCTAGAACTTCTCTTCTCCAAAATGCCTGTCCTATATGGACAAACCACCTTTGTCTCAGTTCTACAATCTTCAATGCAGCTGTTTTCCTGGTCCACACTTCTTCCAGAACGAATGTCTTTGCCTCCATATTCAGAACCTTTCTCCATCTCCTTGTTGGTACAAAGCCTTTCTCCATCTGTCTCTACAGTTTTGAATGTATTACTTTTTCTACTGATAGTTCCTTTGTTTTTCTTCTAGCTCCACTTCCTTTTACTAGAAGTTCATCTTCTATTGTTGTTCAACCTCCTAAGTCCTAAACCATCAAGTTGCAAAGTTGAACACACAACAATTTCAAAAACTAGAAACCATCAAGTTGCAAAATGAAGTGCTGGACTGCAAAGTTTCACTCCATCTATATAAACCCTTCAACAACAGCAGTACTAATGACACTTTCATAGGAACTCACCTACATTATAAATACTCCCACATTCCCCAACAGTCAATGATTCCCAAAGGACTCTTTGGCTAACACAATTAACAAGATGACCATTTAATGCAGTCACAACTTACTATGACTCCAAAAATTACAAGACACGGGACTACCTAATGCATTCTCAACTACTAAGTTAGACATATATAGGATATTAATGACAATTTTGACTCCAGCAATGGATCATCTAATGGACCCAACCACTCCTCCAGTAATCAAGCAAGAACAATCAAACAAACATACATATATACATATACATAGTAATAACGTAATTTAATGTAAGGAGTAAAATACCCCATTTAAGTCGAGTCCAAACAATATGTATTTATCTTTTGATGATATCCCAGTTCCCAGCAAAAAGCCAAAACCTTTTGAGGAATAGGGCCCAACTATGTATCTTTAACCGGAAACTCCCTCTCTTGAGATTTTTTTACACAATTAACCCTTTTCTTTTCTGGTATAATAAAATTCCTTTGATTGTTAATGGAAAAATGCAAGCATATTAGATCTTACAAACTCATTACACACTTCTATTTAGAGGAAGGGAAAGACCAAAGCTATGGTCATTAATATCTGAAGCCATTATACTAAATATTGTCATTTACATACTTAGATAAAGATAACAGAAGTCTGACTTACCCAAATATAACACTTGCATTCGCTGGTTTTGTTTGTAGGTTTCCAGATACTTTAGCATATTCTACAAAATCTCTTACATAGTATCCAGTAGTTGTGCTCCCATCACCATACACCACACGGTATTGGCAGTAATCATTGGCAGTGCAGCCAGGAATATTTTGGAAATCATACATGGCAGAGCAAAAATCTTGATCACATGTAACCTCCCTTCCCGTCTGTGAGGCCTTTAAATCATACAGAGTGAGTTCTACCTGTATACAACAAGCACAAATCCCACAAACATTTCAGAAATGACAAATACTAACATTTTTTTTGGTAATCTACTAACATGAAGTTGACATAAAATAAGTGGGATGAAGAAGAAAAAGGGAATCAATGCATATAAATCAAAAGAACAAGCATACACCGATGTCGCTTTTCGTTGGACACCGGGTGCACTGAATACAGTTCACCCATAGAATGTCGCTTCCTGTATCAACTTGTACATAGTAGTCCTTTGGAGGAGTCCCAATTCCAATTTTAGCAAAGTAAAGCCTTAAACAAGCAGCAACAAAATTTGACTCATTTAGCAACGTAACTCAAAATGAGCTAAATCCATTAATCTACCAATTAGGCAATTATCCGGATCAACGTTAGCAAAGCACGGACTTGGAGAAAAAACAGCAACAATAACAAGAACAATTCTCAACTACAAAGGCAAGGCATCAAATTCTACACCAAACGGCCCAAACCTATCAAATAAAAGGCAGGAATTTCATCAAGAGAAATAAAAGTGAGCCCAGAAAATAAAGAACAAACCCAGTATCTGCAGGATGGCCATTTCCACCCAGAGGAAGGTCAAGGCCGGAAAGAAGCCGACGGTGACGCCGCTCATCATGAGCTTTAATATCGCTCAACGACCGCTTCCGACCCGCGAATTTGTGCTGAACCCTGAATACCCCATTGGCAGATACACTTGTAGCAAGAAATAGAATCACAATACAAATAACATAGATCGAACTCCTGAGATCCATAAAAACAACAAATCTTCCCAACTTTTCGTTCTTTTTATTCTACCTCTGCAACTGCAAAGAAATAGAGAAAGAAAAGAACAAGGGAGTGGGAGATGCAGGGGTCCCTGCCAGAGCGGCTAAAGTCGGTGGGCGGCAAAGACACGGAAGAACATTTCAGTAAGCTTCAACAACAAACTACAGTGCGAAAACTCTCTGTACCCACGAATAGAAGAACGCCACATCAGCTTAGCTTTTGAATCTCTCAACTTTCTGTACTCAAAACAATTCAATTTTGTTTATCCGCTTCAATTCCTCATCTCGGTCAATGATAAAAGAAAAAGTGGGGTTTATAATTCATAATCATATCACAATCGTACAGTTTGGGTTAATACTAYGAAGAAATATGCCAAATTCACGGGATGATGTTTATAGGAAGAGTTGGGCATAAATACTTTTGGGATAAAAAATTGACCACTTCTGAAGTGGATGTAAAACTCTAAAAACAAGGTCAATGATACCCGAAAATCGGCGCCAGATCCCGTATCTGATCCAATTATTTTGCATTCCAATTATTTTGCATTCTAATGACGTGTTTATGTAAATGGATCAGATTTAGATTTTTATAATTTAATATTAAATATGTACTTGCATTTACACATAATAGTATCTCCAAGATAAAAYTATTTACAATTCATAGATAATTTTTGAACTAAGTGGACAGTTTTTGGAGTGAGAGTAATTGACATATATGTCCTTTTTATGTTGTTTAGATAAGGGGTAAAAATGTCTTATGAAAAATCCAAAAAATGGGGCTATTCACTCTTTTATTAGTAGTATAGATATTCGATTAGTAATCAGATCATTTTTAGATTTTACTCGATCATATCTAATTAAAATCTAAATCTAATTATATTATAATATTTATTGATTTTTTATGTAAAGACACTTGGTGGGCCTCGAATTATGCCACATTGTTACGGTTCAAAGCAGGCTTAGCCTTGCCTACGCTTGGCAGGCTTACGTTAGGGACAT